TAATCTTCTATGAAATAGCAGATCAAGTGTATTTTGTAGCCATATGCATAAGGAAGCAACAAAGACCAGCTCTCAGCAATTTTTAATGGAGTGGGTATCTGCCACACTAGATGACATGCACTTTCTACCCTCAGATGTTTAGAATACTGAAGCCTGGTGTGATTCTCCCTGCATTGTGGTATCACAGAACTGACCATAATTTCTGCCTTAACACTTAGGACTTTCTATGAAAGACTACAAATAGCCAGAGCAAAAAGGGACACTTGACTGCCTTCTGAGACACTTAGGTTCTGGGATGTACAATAAGTCTTTAGAACTACAGAGGAAGTTGAGATGTATAATCTGTACCTCCAAAATTTCTTCAGGAACAGCTGTTTGTCACACCTCTACATGGAACAAAAATCCCTGGCTTTGTTTTGATTACTGAGGCTCTTAACACCTCTAATTATTGATGCTTCAGTGCCTTCCACATAAGCAACGCTACCAGAAACATCAACTGTTTGAGGGACAATTATCATACTGTTCTTCTGTCCTTTCTTCTCAAAATCTACATTGATCTGACACCACAAGTTGTGGTCAACGGTCAGAATATGGACAATCTTCAGACACAGGATAATATGTACAATTCAGGAACTGTTGGTAGTAAGTTAAAATATTTTTACTGTAATTCTAGATATTCCTTAAATGTAGAATACTAAGTACATAAATACATGTCTATCTAAAAAAAAAAGAATTTAGTCTTTTAAGTACCTCCCTGAATATACTTGCAAAAAAAAGTATAAGCAGATATCCACTGCTGTAGATGACTAATTATGAAAGCTCCCTCTATAACAAGACAACAGTCTCTCTGTTGAAAATGCTACTCCAACTCACCTACAGCTACAGAATCTTCTCCCACTTTTATGCAATCCTGTGGATTTCTGTGGTAAAGGGAATATATTCCCAAAAACACAATTTATTTTAGTTTCTTCAGGATTATGCGATAAAACCTTTCACATTTGTTTGTCTGTACTGTTGTCATATACAAACTAACTTCAGACAGTTACCTTTCTTAATTCAGATGCTGGACAGGACTTATTTTGAGTAATGATATTCAACCAAAATATGGTTTATTCTCTTGCTTGTATAATTAATGCATACTTTGTACTGTTACTTCTACTACTTTCAGATTTTACCTCACCTTTCATAGCTGGTAAGTTGTGGGAGCGCTCTCATGATGTTCTATTTTTATTTCTTGACAGCAGACTTCATACTCTGATTGCTGTTACCTAACTATTTTCAATAGTCAGGTAGAATTTATGGAAATAAACAAGCATTCAGTATTATAAACATGAACATTCTAGCTAAACTAGTCAATTTACACAATTCCTTTCAAAACAAGCGAAAATAGAGAGTATGACTGTGCTCCCTACCACCTTGGGAGAAAGAAGAGTCAAAGGCTCTGCAGCAGTCTTGAAGCCATGTACCAGGACTGTTACAGAACCTGGAGCACAAAGCAAGCAGGAACAGAAGTAGTAATAGCAAGACCTATTTCTCATAAAAAGAACCAAGATTTTGATCCCTTAAGCCTTTAATGGTACAGAACAATAGCAGGTTAAAATAATATGTTCTATTACTTCAGAGAAAAGGTAGCTGGGGTATATGAACACTAGCACAGATAACATTAAGGACAGATAGACTAATTACTGAATAAAAAAAATACACTTGATTGAAACTTACAGTTTGAGAGAGATTTGACTGTGAATTACATTAGTGCCAAAAGTCCAGATCTAACATAGACCTTCTGAAGTCAAATTACGGAAAGAGACTATCACCAAGATGAGTATCTTTTCTTATCCCAAAGTTCAAATCTTACTTTTTATAACCAACTTAAATCCAAGTTTACTTATTCATTAGTTACTTATGTTCTTTCATAAGATGTTCAACATACCTTTAAAGTTCTCTTTTGAGGAACAAAACTCCCTGCCTCCCATCCCCTCTACCTTGGCTCTCAAGGATCTTCTTCCCACGCAACCTCTCTCACTTTGAAGGAAGAGTCCTCTCAGGTTTTGCAGTCTTCTCCAGTTTTAAGCAGTTTCTACAACTCAAGTGACTACATTAGTCTCCATGCTTCAGCGATAAAGGAAGGACTAATAAACCTAATTTATACTCCTTTTATCTACTGCAGGTAGAAAACCAGGAAGAAGAATTCTTTTATATTGCTTTCCAGCAATTTATTTTTGCTGTTACTCATATTCACCTCATTTCCACAAATTAGCTACTGAAACTAAAGAACTTAACCTAGAATGTAAAAGTTCATGGGAATTTAGTGAAGCCAAAATGTGATTAGATGACTAGTCAATAGCAAGAAATCAACAAAATATCAATTAAGATAACCTTTGTAAGAACATTGACTACTTTTGCTTATTATTTGTTACTTTTTGCTTGTTACTTATTATAAAATTATTATGCCTGTCATTCTAGATTCATATGTTAAGCAGGAAGCAAAAACGTTTCACTCAGTCTTCAACCAAGATTTGTAGGAAAAGCTGTATTTCCCAACTTCCAACTCATCCACTTCAATGGAATACTTTGTTAGTTTTTAAGTGTTCTTGCATCCCTTTCCCAGAGATATTAGTCATTTCTTGAAAAACGTATTTAAACTTTATTAAGTCAGAAATTCATTATTATAGACATATTGAAGAGCAAAATTGCAAAGCAGGAAGACAGAGTTGGCATAGGTGAACTGAACAGCACAAAGGATATTTTACTTTTGGGACAAAGAGACCTATCTATAAACCGGAAGGAAGAGATCCTTTTTTGATCACTCCTACTTAGAAATAAGACAAACTGATTAAATGTGCTTAAAAAGGGACATAAACATTATCAGGACATTATTCAGGAGCCTTCATGATGCTGATAAATAAAGCTTCAATATAAATACACTATAAAAAAGCTCCTAATTAAGAATGTGATCATTGATACTCAGAGCAACAGAAACAGCTACACAGTTTGTGAGAAACAGAACAATGATGCTAGAAGGCAACATCAGTGAGAAATTTCAGCTGACAAAAGTTTTGGTTTTCTTTCAATAACTATCAGGTTACAATTAACATTCCAGTATTTAATACTATAATTTTATTTACCAAAAATAATGATGGAAATTTAAACTGTTCACCTGTATTTTTAATATTACACATAATGCCACTTTAATCTGTTGAAAAACTTTATTAAATGTAATTTGAAATCAGCATCCTCTTTCAAACACCATTAGTTGCTCTTACAGAGAATGCCTTAGCTTAAACTGATGGCAAATAAGTGAAAAATGACCAGCAAAGACTGATGGTCAGAAAAGCAACAATGATCTTGTTTTTCATAGAATGCCTTTTAAAATAAAAATAAAATTATGAAGAAAGGAAAATAGTAGCAGTAACATTCTAAGTTGATCATATTTTAAAGTTGTCTGTGAAGCTCTGGCAGATCTTTTTTTAAGCCAAGCACAAAAAATTCGAAGCTCCACATTTAAGAATAGGCAGCTATCTAGGGATTATTTCTACATTAGTGCCTCTACGTCAAACAACGAACAGGAAGCAAAGGAAGAGGCAGCCTTCTCCATCATGATTGATGCTTTTCTTCCTACTTAAATCTCCAAGAGAATTGATACTACTGTTGCTTCAGAGTGAAAAATAGATACCTTAGAAAAATTGACTGACAAGTTAATTAAGAGAGGTAACAGCTGTATTCACACAAACTCTAAATAATGAGATGTAAGTTACATGAACAATACAAATGACACCCACAAACTAGTTTTGAACATAGGTGGATCAACAGACATTTATTCAAAGTACGCTCTTCAAAGTTTTCCTTCAGTTATATTTAGTTTTATTAATGTTGTCAGCCATTGCCATTAAATAAGGACCCTTCTACAGTATTCTTGAGTATTTTTTGACCAACTTTTCTGTTAATAAGGGATATTCTAATGCAAATTTGTTAGAATTGAAAAGGTCTCACTTTTACTGGTTGGCCTGGTTTGATCTTCCCAGAGGAAAAATTCTTTGGCATCCCTGCTAAAGGCTTAATTAAATACAATACATCAACAACATTGGAAGAAAGTCTTTTAGCCACTGCGGATGTTCAACACCCCAGAACGACAGAGTCTTCTGTCTACAATTTCTACAGTGATTGCTAGTATGTTTGTAAAGACTAAACTGCACATTCACCAATTACTTATTCTATGCTTGTGGTTTATCTTAAGAATCAGTTTAGGAAACAGCAAATGTTTATTACAAGGCAAACAACATGTCCAGATAATCAGAGTAGATCAAAACCACTGTGTAAAAAGAACAAAAACCTGGAAGCTGTACCTGAATTTATTCCAGATTTGTATGTATTCCAAATGTAATTAAACAAGATGCATGACAAACAAAAAGCATAAAACGTATCTGTTGCTGCAAATGAGTACTTCCCAGTAAACTCTAGTTTTACATTTCAGACATTAAGCATATACAATAATGATCACTACTTTAACCCATTATAGCAACTGCATGTGTCCACCCAAAAAAAAAAAAAAATCTGCAAACTTATTTATGTTTGACTTTCTACGCCACAGAGGTTCTGGCATGTACTGTGGCAACTAGATTTTTGTTAACTGGATCCAGGACAAACTGAAGTTTTTTCAAGCCTCAAATCAGAAAAACATGGCACAGAATTTGATTTCAAACACCCAATCTTTAATCTTACCATTTCTCTCAGAAAAATCCCACAGAGGGTGCTCTGCTGCTTAATTCCCAACTCTTTCAGAGCTGGCCAATGTAAAAAAAAAAAAAAAACACCACCCAAAAAAACAAAAACACAAAAGTAATTTATTAGACCTCCATTTCAGCTGCCTCCTCCTCCCAGCCTCAGTGGCTTTGATCATTCATGGTGGCCATTAACAGAAAAACAAGTTTGTTAGAGCTTTTTAAGATAAAAAATGAGGATAAAAACAGTAAAAACAACGTTTCCCAAACATTTCTCTTTACCTTGGCACTACAGACTGCTACGTTAGCAGGGAGCTGGGAAAACTGCTTCAACTCAAATACGTCTCGCACTGCCCACCGGCTCAAGCGATTCTCAGCCTTGCTGGATCCAACCACATTCTGATTTGAATGAATATATGCCACTTCTTGAACACCATCTGATATATTAGGGGAAAGATATAATCAAAGATTTATTCCAAAACCTGGAAGGTACACAGTTACACTGAAGAAGGATATTGTAATTTTTAAGAAGTTTTATATGAAAGTTGTAAAATTTGTTATGATTTCACTCAGCACCAAGTTTCTCAGCTCTATGAAATTAACAATAATCATTAGACTTATTCAGATTTATCCAGACAGTTTAATACTACTTCCACTTCAGTGGTGGTTTTTATCAGACGGACAAAGGAGAAGTTTCAAAACATCTATGATTTAATGGCTGCAATATTAATGTTTAAAGTTAAGTCTCTAACAGAATCAAATCTTCCACATGGTATTTCAAACTCCCAAATCACATAAATACATACATGAAAAAAAACTTAACAGCCTTGTCAAGATTTAAGGTTTTACAGTTCAAATATTTAGATTTGTGAATTCTTAATAAATCTTCAATCTCAGCATCTTTCAGACTGTAAGTGTTTAACAAAATATTACAAAGCAACCCACCACCTCAGAAGACAGAAAAGTAAGGCTAATAGGTAAAAAGAGAGATACAGAAAGACATTACTAAATAATTTAGCAGAGCATTTATTAGTATCTTGTAACAAAAACATGTATAGCAGGAAGAACTTAAAACCTGCCAACAATGATAAATTAAACATATGTTACTACTTTAGTTGAGATAAAATCAGAGAAATTAAATTACTAGTTACCTAAATATCTGTCCATTGATTCCACTTTTTGCTCTTGACGTTCAAATTCAGTTTTACTTGCTGAAGTCCTACACACAGAATAATTACTAGACTTCATTTGTACAACAGAGATATCTTGAATAGGATGAAGCATTTTAGACCCAACCTGAACTCTGCCTCTCTGTCTTTTACACTTATAGCTTTGCCTTCTGGCATGAATTTTCTCAACCGGTAAGTTATCTTCAGAGGATGAGAATTCATCTATATTCTGAGAATCACTTTCCTTTTGTTTTCTACTGGCCTGCTTTGATTGTAGCAGAGATTTGGAGAGGCTACCTAGTCCATTGTTATTGGCATGTCTTTCTTTCCATTTAGGAAAGCTGGAAGTTCTTAACTTTCTTGATTCAGAATTATGGGAAATTTCAATATCATCAGACTCATCACTTATGTCGCTTGCCCCTTTCAAATCTCTTGTGCTGTTCTTGATGTCTTCAAAAGACATGACTTTGCTGAAATTTGACTCAATACTATGGAATCCAAGTTGCCTACTGTCTCCCTTAAATACCAACCCATCTTCTTTTGCTAACTCTTCACAACTTTCAGATGCTGACCTGTAAATTTCAACTTTTTTAGTAAGCATTGGTTGCTGATATGCTGGAACTTGGGTAGGAAAGATGACATCATCATTCTCCTCAGAACTCCATTCAGTTTCAACGACTACATCAGTTTGCTTTGAAATGCACTGATCCTCACTTTCTCTGTCCCCTTCCTCCTCAGAGCCTGATAAAACAAGCCAGTCTGTACTACACATATTTTGTTTATCAGTTCCATCTGGTGACTGAGCAGCTTTCCCATGCTCCAGAACATGCACACGGCTTTGACATTTCTGAAAATCAGTATGCTTGCTATTTACATTTGTTCTTATAGTCTGATCATTAGAATTTGAATGATGAGAGTTACAATTATTATACTGTTCTTCGGTAGTTTCAATTTCTCTCTGCAACAACTTAGGGAATCCACATTGCATTAAGGAAAGTTGTCCCTTTGTTACCGTTAAATTATTTGCATTGCAAGGCTTTCTTCTGTCACGTTTTTTCACAGAAGTTTCCAGAATATCATCATCACTGAAGTCATCACAAAAATCCATTTCTTCTCTCTTCAATTGTGCTTGAATGCTTCCGGGATCTCTATCTTCTTTACAGTCTGGTTGTTCATACTAAAAATAAAAGTAATTTACAGCAAAGGTATTTAAAACATAAATAATATATGGAACACACCTAATTCCAAAACAGTATAAAAAAAGTGGATTTTCACTATGTTACTCAATCAAAAAATACACAAAATAGTATTACAATACACAGATAGAAAGCAACTACAAAACAAATCATAAAGAGAAATTATATGAAAGTCTTTGGAAAACAAAATTTTTAGCAGAACAACAAATAAAAATATAAATTTGAGACTATATATGCTGCACACTGCTAAAACAACCTACATCTTCACAATCCATGCCCGTATTTTTCTAGTTTATACTGATTTTGTTGCAACTTTTCATCTTTCAAAGGTAGTTTGAAAAGTGACTTCAAACCTTAATAGTGTGTAATGACATTCATTAAAAAAAATCTGCCAGAGGTGGCCAACTTCCTCGTATATGGGAGCTAACACAGTTTATAAGAGCTATGAGTACATAACATTCTGTTCTTAAAATTAGTTGAGGCCTACTGTAATCAAAGAAAAATTACCTCCAAGCAACCTTAAAACGTTTTGAAGCTACAAAAGTCCAGAATACAACTCCAAAACTGTGCACTACTGAGATAAGAATTACGACAATATGTAAATGAAAAGTCAGAAAGGTAAATACTAAACTTTTGTACATGAAAAGAGGTTTTAAAATTAATATATTAATCCTGGTATCACCCTGCTTATCAAAAAGTATTTAACACAAGCTAAAAAAGTTACTGTTTGTCACCAAATCCACTGTGAGATCATGACCATACAGTGATGTATTAGCAATATGAGATTATGACCAATGTGATGGCATACTGATTCAAATTAATACTGACATTTACCCACAGAAATCTCCAAAAAGCATAAGAGACAGCGGCTAATTTCCAGTGCCGTTCAGTGTGATCTAATCTAATGATATTTTCATGCTTAGAGGCCATGTTGTAGACCTAGCTGTTTGTTTCCCAAATCATATGAACACAGTGTTCACTCAAAAACATTCACAAAAATGCTCCCATTAAACCCAGCCTTTACGGGGGGGAAAAGAGGGGGAAAATCTTGTTCCAGAAGAAAATTATTAGACACATTATTTAAAAAAAAAAAGTCAGCATTGAACACACCACTGATTTGCTGGGAATCACTGTCTGATTACATCAACTAAATAGCCATGTCTTCCACAGAGGTCCACAAAGCCTGAAGCAAGTTTTCAATCCTCTAAACCAATTGTACTCCTTTCCACAATTCCCTAACCAAAATCTTCTAAACAACAGTAGGTTTTAGATTCTCAACTGACTTCTTGATCAAAAGGCTGTCATATCATACCATGCCATGTCATATCATATGGCTGTCACTCTTTAAGACACTATAAAGCCATGCTTCAGTAAACAATATTGCTCTGTACTAATAGCATATTAGTAATACCTTCATTCAGACTGAGGATATCCAAGTCTTGTAAAGGTCACAGAATACCCTATCACCAGATGTTCAGAATATACCACTTTAAATACAGACAGCACGACATTATCTAATGCTTTACAATATGTAAAACCAAGGGCAAGCACACAATAAAAGATGGCAAGTGCAATCCAGGGTAAAAGCATAATCAGCCTAACAACATACTGTCCACATTTGCCACTGTAGTATCAGGAACTAGAGGGACTGTCATGCTCTGGTCCATAGTCCACAAAGACACCTCACCTTTTCTGAGCTGCATGGAGGAGTCTCTTCCTTTAGCCATGTAGTTGCTGTCATGACTCCTGCTTCTACTCGCCCTTCCCTCTAAAACAATCAAGAATGTATAGAATAAAAACTGTATCTGTTCAAGTTAACAAAGGCAAGCCCAGGAAAAAAGAGTTTTTCTTTTTTTCTACTGAGATATAAGCATCAGAAGTACAATCAAAGTCCAGACTAAGACTTACATTTTGGCACTTACTGCCCTTCGATCTAACCCATAACCTGCAGGAAAAGCAACATACTGCATAAATTGGGAGGATCTTATGCATACACTGTTTTAACAATTCTAAACATTTTTCCAAAGCAGAATACCTGCTACAATGTTCATATTAAATGCCATATTTTAATTCAGATTTAATTTAGAGGACTTTTGAGCTTAATATCCCCGAAATACATATTCTAACACCACATTACTCTTTTGGCTATGCTGCCTTTATACTGCTATATCACATTCACCAGCCTCTTCCTAGTATAGGCAAAATGACAAAATAAAGGGAAGGATGGAAAGAGAAGAGCTAGAATAAAGCTGCAATAAATTCCAAGACACAAGTTAGCTGCAACAGACATGCTGGATAGAAAAAGGTATAATACTGCATATACTTAAAACCAGTGTGCATTATATGCTATGGAATTGTGCCAACTGTCTTTTTAGAGTAACTAAGAAATAAATCTTTAATATGAAGCCTCAGTTATTTACTTCCACCTTGTAATATTTTTAAATCCAGCATGATAAAATATATTTTATTAAACAGTTTTTGACATCTGAAAATGTATTATACAAAGGTTACTATGATCATAAAAATATTTTTTATGATCAGAATTCTGGCTTAAAAGGTCACTCTAAGCTATTGATGAATAAAAGGTATCTGTGCACAAAGTTGATAATATGTGAAAGTATCACAAAAATAAGTTATGACATTTTTATTAGGAAAAGAAATATATTAGCAAACTTTTGGAAATTATAATCCAAACTTTTTCCATTTTTTTGTTTGATTTAAGGAAATTTATCTTGTCTACATCAGAGCGAGCAATTAGCATGCCTACTTCATTTAAGGCACTGCATAGACAGGTACTGTTTAAGTTTCTCTGTTTTATAAAGTATTTTGTCATAATTTTGAATGGAAACATCTCATGAGGGAAGGAAAAATGTAAAACTAATATCCAGAAGTAAAGGGTAGGAATTCATACCTCCAGGATGTCTCTGGTAAGACAGGACCCATGCGTCCTAAGTTTGAAAAGGTTATGGATCCCAAAAAGCTCTCCTTGATGTTCCTTTGATCCTTGCACTGCCTCGAAATACCGCTTGGCATTTTCACTTCCAACCACTGCACAGTGAAGTTGCTAAAACAGAACAACACAAGAGATTTCAGAAGTGTTTGCTCCAACAACATGTCAGAATTTCCTGGCATCCACATTATATACACAGCTTTAGTTGGAGCAGGCAGAAATTCCTATGGGAGAATATTTTGTTTTAATTTCCCTGGCAAATGTTAGTATAATAGATTGTGGTATAATATGAACCTGCTTGGTTTTACTGAATTAAAAAAAAAAATATTTCAAGTCTTTTACTTCACTGCTGTCTAATATCAGACACCCACTATACACACTACTGACTGTATCTTGACTGCTCATCTTTCCTCAATACTAAATTCTTACTATTTTTTCATAGTCCTTTGCATTGCATCCTTACTTGGTAAGGACTAAATAAAAGCCACAAGATTATTCCTACTGATGTCTGAATATTTTAATTATCATGCACTCTTGCTAAGTAGATTGAACAGAAATGACTTAAAAATCTTCAAGGTGAAAAGGAAAGACAAGTAAATAGTTTGCCAGGCAGAATTAAAACATTTTTGAAGCCAGGCAGGTTTAGCTGCATTCCAGTGACTGCAAATTTTCAATACTTACATAATTGGTATATTTGACTTTAAGTGGAAGAATGTCAAAACCATGGGTTTATGGATATCAGACCTGTAATATTTTTTGTAACTGTCTCTAAGCAGCTGGTAATTCTTCAGTTCTACTCAATTCTAGTTCTAGCACTGAACAGGCATTTTCCTAGACAGTACATCTCTTGAATTATGCAGGCCAGTAACTATACAGTCAAATTCTAGTTTAACTTTAGCTGAGCACAGTTTGCTCTTTCTTGAATTATGCATGGTATTTACAGAAGTATACTTTAGGATACATATATAACTTATTCAGGTTTCTATTATGTTAGATTTCAATTTTATTTATATCAGATACTTCAGTCACACATGGCTAGGTCAGACAACCAAACACCACTAAAAAAAAATTCAGCAATTTTAAAATCAAATAGATCCCTCAGTAAGAATACGCTACAAACATGATAAAGCATTTTCACATAAATTCATTTCATGAAAAGGATGGATGACAACATTTAGCTCTCTGAGAGCACATTTTTATAGTTCACCAAAAGCCACACCTCCACATGTACTCATGGCTTCTGAATTTTCAACAGCAAAGGCATTTTCTTCACAACTTACTGAAAATTTCCTAACTGTGCTCAAGTGTCAATAGCAGGGAATGCAATCCAAGTGTAGACAAAAAAAAAACCCCAGATTTACAATTACTCTGTTTATTGCTTCTTATTCGACTTGAAAAACACAAGTCAACTTGGAAGGAAAAAAAACCAAAAAACAAAAAACAACCCTTTCAAGAAGTTTTATACATGCCTTTTGGAAATCCTAACAGACAATACCAGTCTAGGTCTTCTTTATCTACAAGATCACCAACTCCAAAGACCTCTGTGAAGCATGACTATATTCATTTTAGTGAATATAGTTGGTCATAATCTGCTATTGATCATTTCAGAGACCTCTCCTACTGATACTTGCTCTTGAAATGAATCCTCAAACGTATTTTGCACATGAGAAACTTTGGAACAGGATGCTACCTAAGCTTTTCCATGAATGTGGATACAAAGCATAAATCAAGCGGGTTTTTTGCAATGAATAATCCTTTAAACCTTGCTAAAGTAACGCCCATAGAGCAATATAATTCCTGCTCCTGATGTGTTCGAAAACTGAATTATTGGCTTTTACGTTTTTAGACCACTGCCCCTCAAAAGTAGGTTTTGGGCTTACTGTGTTTTATATTTAACTCACCTCATTAGTATATGATTTCAACTATTAATACAATGTCTTCTTCATTCCGACCTCCTGATACAGTGTCTCTGAAAATTGCCCAATTACCTGTGAGCACATCAGCCCATCCCCTACTACTTTTAATTTTTTCTTAACAAGTTTCGTCTTTTTTTATTTAGATAATTTTGTCAAAATTAAACAGAACTCTAATTTTTTTTTTTTGCTTCTACAAAACATTGAATTTAAGTGAGATAAAGTCACTGTTACACTTTTGAAAGTAATGTGTATGGCCTACTTTAAAATGTTACTGAGAACAGCTCAAGATTTGATCTTCCAGCTGTGGGGTTTCTGACTATCTGATCTGTGAAATCAGATGGGGTGTCCAAATACTTGATCTTAGACCATTATTCTTATTTGTCACTTGCTTAAATCTGTATGAGGATAACAACAACCTGTCTATTACTGCATTTCCCACTCACTCAGCCTCCAACCTCCTCCTTGTAAATAACCCAGCTACAAGAGGGTGCTTGTCACTCAAGGCTCAACACCAAATTTATGGCCAAAAATTTGAAATCATTAGGTTAATTCATCAAATTTCATAAAGCTTTCTTTAATACATGGTACCATTTGCTCACTGAGGTGACCTACTTTGCCTTTTCTATGCAATGCATTCTTCAGGACAACTGTCTCTCACTGATTTTCTTCCTTTCGCCAACTTTCTAAACCTGTAATGTCACTATCTTAACTTAAAGCCAATCATCTTATTTCTCAACAAAAGTTGCAAGTTAAGAAAAACATGTTCATACTTCACCTAGTTTCTTATTATTCTGCAGCCTGCTCTTTATTGTTCATGTTTGAGTTTGTTTATTTTTTGTTTTAATTCTGATCTCATCAGGAAATAGTTGCTAGATTATGTGTTCCTCAAACCACACACTTTGTTTTTCCCACTCTTAGGTTTTTAAACTTATCAATGCAAGTAGCAAGATTTAGAGAGAGCAATTGTTTCAGGTTGAGTATTCTGGCAGACAACATCACTTCTTATCTTCATAATAGCAGCAACTACAAGCTGTTTCCCCCTCCTTTCATAAGCAAGTTTCCAAAGGCAGAGAGTAGCAATGTCTTCTTGCTTTTCTTCTATAGCACCAGCAAGATTTTTGCTCTCTTTCTCCAACCTTTCAAAAGAAAAAGCTGCCTGAATCAGATTGCTGCAGATACTAACTACAACTTTCGCAGATACAGTTTACAAGTTTTTAAATATAATAGTTCTCTTCTCTCTATAACCCGATCAATGTATATTGCATAACTAAACTCTTAAAACTTACAGAAAGACTTGAATACAATATTCTGTTTTCTTCTTTGACAATTGCTAAATGATGTGTCTCTGCTTAATAAGTTAACGTGACAGTATATATCATAAACCCAAGGTAAACTACAATTTTGCTATAGGCTAGTTTAGCTTTCAAGCATTGAAACAGCTAAAAAGAGCTCCCAATTTAAATAGTTTGTGAACTTTACCTGTTTATAAACTTGTCGCAAGTACATCATCTCCTCCACAGTTCCCAAAGATATCAACCTAAACACTTTAACATCTTTGTATTGGCCAATCCTGTAAGCTCTGCAAGAACAGTGACATATTAAAAACCGTATTTTTTTACCAGTAAAAAAATAAAAGAGCGCTCTTAGAGATAGTAAAATAAATAAATTTAAAACGCATTCCAGTAAAACAGGAGTACTCTAAATCATTTATGATTTGGTTGGGTTTTGGTTTTTGTTTTGGTTGTTGTTTTTTTCCCCCACTTTTCCAAATTTTCCTGAGTATTTAATTCCCTTTTCCTTTAACCTTAGTTTTCCAACTTTCTTCCCAGGCCTATCCAGTTGAAAAAGCTTTCTCCTGAATTTATATCACAAGGCCTGTCTCCTATCTCTCTTGAAAACACATCTTCCACAATGCTTTCTCAGGTTTTTTCCCCCGCCCCGTCTCCATCTGCTCTTGCACAAGATACTCTCCTATTTGCATCATATAGGAGTTAGATCATGGATTACTTGGAGCAGTCCATTCTTTTTTAACTTTATAAAGCATTTTGCAAGTTACAACATAATAAAAACAGCTAATGAACAGGTAGTGTTCCATCTAAATGGCAAATTCTGAGACTTCTAATAGATTATATTCTGAAAATTCAAGAGAGGCTGAACCAATTTATAGAAATGTGGTCTTACAAGGATTCTTTAAAGACAGCCCCTTTCAATAACACGTATTTCTCCAGAACCGGTGCACATGAACACCTCTTTGAAGTCAGACCATTAAATGGAATTATGTAATTGGATGGGACAGCAGAAACAAGTGTATTTCTGCTCATGAAAATATATAAATCTACTGAATTTTGAAGGCTTCCAATATTCTTTACTTCAGCTATCCAAAAGTCTGTCCTGAATTCTTAGGGAAACATCCTATGATTAAAAAGCCTTGGAAGAAAAATCCAGATTCCTAGAAATCCACCAATGGCATAATATCAGAGATGGAAGTAACCAAAGTGACTGAAAAGACACTAATCTCCACATGGGTGAAGCAGAAGAGAACATAGATGTTTTTCTTTAAGGATTCTGGAATTCAAAACATCACTTGTACTAGGGTCAATTACAACGTACTCTGTCCTGACAAACACAGGAAAAATGCCATCCAGCTATACACACACACACACACACTTGTTCTAGAGATCACAAAAATTACAGTAACTATGGCTTTTTTTTTTTAATGAGCTCACCATCATAGTGCCACAAAAATAAAATTAAAAATAAAATAAAATTAGGAGTAAAATTCAGAGTTAAAAATAAGAACATCAAAGCTAAAAAATAATTTAGCCAGATATTTCCTACTGTCTTGTGGACAAGTCAGACTATGTAAAAAATTTCTTCCCTTAGGAAAGTTTAGTTGGACAATTAAGATTACAGTATCAAAGCAAAAGAAGAGTACAACATGGATGAAGATCTGTACTTTGAGACTGTACCTGTCAATAGCTTGAAGATCATTTGCTGGGTTCCATGTAGGATCAAACAGTATAACAACATTGGCACCAACAAAATTAAGACCTAGGCCACCAGCCCTAAAAACAAAAATGAAAAAATAGAACTATTTGACAGTAAGAAAAACAGAACAATTTTTTTTTCAGTGTATTAGGTTTGTATTAGCATAACCTTCCCCATCATAAAAAAAGAGCACAATAGAGATGCTGAAAATAGTGGGGTACAGCTTTGTGTTACTGTTGTGTTAATAAGCACCAAGTACTTAAATAACCACTGCTGTAAAATGCAGTCGTCTCACCTAAGTAGCAAGAAGATTACAAACTCTATGACTAGCTGAGTCATAACCAACTGTTATCACCTTACTATAGTAAATGTCCTGATTGCTACTTCATATCCACTAAGCCCTACACAGGCCAACTCCCCCAACGACTATATGGAAATTCATAGCCACTTTTATGCCAGTTAACATTACAGAAGCAGGAAAACTATAGCTTAAATAAAAAGTTCACATTAAATTTTACTTCTCCTAATCCCAGAACATAGTTTTGACAATAACGCTATGCAGCTTCCACTAAAATGGTCACAGTCTAGGGTAAGTCATACCTAGAAGAATTAACAACTGTCACAAGTATATTTGTACAGTATGTAAATCAACTGTTAAAAATATAGTTGGTCACACAGCTACATATCAGCAACATTCATACCTGTCATTACAAGGAAAAAATGTCACCGTAAGAAAATTGTCTGCTGTGGGGGTAAGGAGTCACAGGGGTACCAGTTACATCGTCTTAAACATTCAACAGCCATACTGTGCTTTGGGTAAAGCCTGCAAGCCAGCAAAGAATTTGAGCATATGCTTAACCTGAGATAGCTAACTAATGCCCTTGCTGAATCTAACAAAGCTGCTCAGTTACTTGGAGTTTGGCTGGATGATTTGATAGGAACAAAAGTAAGGAAAATACCACTTCTCATCCAGCTGCAAAACAAGCAAAATTCTTTTCAACTGGCTCAACCAACATTCCTACAAAAAGAGACAGTTCCTATACAAGCACATGCCAAATACTATTATTAATTTAACTATTAAAACAATTCTTTACATTGACATAGACAGCACTAATTTCAAGGGTGTTTTTTTCTGAATGAGGTACCACAAAATTGAAAAAGTCAATCCCATTTAATTTACCAAGCACCTGGTTTTAATAGATTACTTTATATTCTGCTTGTTTAAAGCAGTGGGAAAGGTAAAATTTCCAAGGATGTGAATAAATGGAGACAGAAACCAAAAGCTTATGGAGCCCCACCACCTTTTGGTCTTCATGGAATCCTTGTTAATGTAAATACAGTTGTGGCCTCTTCCTTCCAGGTGTAGTGTGGTGTGGTGTGGGGTTAGTTAAATCTGGAAAAGGAAGGGATGTGGGAACCTGCCAATATTAACAGAGGTTTCCGGAGGATGAGCGCTCTCAAAGTTTGAAACGCTGAATAAAAATCTTTGTATTTTTCAGAATACCTTACTGTATTTTGGAATTTTGGTGTATTTATTCTTAGTGAAGACAGAATTCAGTCTCTCATCTTACCAAACCAACCCTGCAGTCAGACTGAAACATAAGTCAACATGTTTTTCCAAATGCTTTCTCATAAAAAATTGCAGTATTTGGAACTGAATTATGAATTAAACCTCAGTGCAAAGCCTTAGTGTCAGTAAAACAGACTGACTATGAAAATTAACTAAACAGGATACTTAGCTTTATAAAGATTTTACCTTTCAACATTTTTAAGTATGCCACAAAAATTCAGATACTCCAAAACAGAAAAAGAATGGCTCCTATATTCTTCATGGACAGAACGATCACAGTAGTCTGTGCATCGTAAAGAGTATCTTCCATTTTAAATAACATTTTAACCAGCAGGTGAAGTCATTATTGCAAGATGATCCATGCAAATTACTATACTACAGCTCAAATGAAGACCCCTGTATAAAATGCCTCATAACAGCTCTGTTACAAACAAGTTTTCAAAAGATCATCTTATTTAAAACTGTATACTATGTTAAATAAATGGCTTGTTTTTATATCCTGTCACTGACAACTTAATACCACAATGTTCAGAAGTTACAAAACAGTATCGCATTAGGGAAGTTCCCATGAAAGCTGTGACTACATAGTTCTATTTACTGAAGTAAGTTTTTTATAGTTCGTAAGTTCTCTGCTTCAGTGAGATCTTGTGGCTGAGAGTTCTTTGAATGTGATTACATGCACATTAAAAATTATTTACAACGTAGTTGTGAAGAATTCAAGTTAAATGAAGTCCTGAAAAAGTACAAAGTAATGGAAAGCAGTCCAGTAATGGACAGTAATTGAGAATGCTGCAGGTAGAATGGAAGTGCATACTGTAACCTTTCATGATAAAAACTGCCTACAAATCTCTGTAACCATCATCTCTTCATCATCTAAACACTTCTCTTTACATAATAAAGAAAACTGAGAGTGGAAATATACTTTCATTTATAATTACTCTGAAGGAATTAATCTAGAGAAAAACTAGCATGGAAAACCCAGAGAATAGTGATTTAGCTCTAAAGGTGGGAACACTTCCTGCTCTTCTTTCTTCCAGAACACTGCAATGGAACAGGACTACGTAGACTTCAGTATTGTACATATGCAGTTCCCCTTCTTCAGGCTAAGCAGCATCAATGGAGTTGCAAGCTCTGACATTCTCCTATCAAGTTACAGCAACTCCAGCAATTATTTTAATGTTTCTAAGCATTATCAAAAATCCCCTTCCTTTCTTCTAAATAATCATACATTTTCCCAGCAACACCAGCACAGGACTGAAGTATTCTGAAATAGACTTTACTTCATGAGCCTTAGAAGTTCCAACAGATGTATACCTATTTTTCCATAAAGCTCAGGCTGAAATTCATAATCTATACCTACTGGTTTGATGGAATTTAAAAGCTCTGAAGAAATCAATCATATTTTCTCTCAACACCCATAAAATATATTTATCCATATAGTTATATCAGTCATAGCTATACGTAATAGCGTTATGGATAGCTATATGACTATGTTTGACACTAACATTAACTGGAAGACTTGAGGTTAAGCTGTATAGATAGAGATTTTCTTTTTTACTTTACTGTTTAAGGGCCCTATTTCTCAAAAGACTCACCAATCAATTAAAATCAAGATTTCCAAATGTCTACAGGCTACACATAGGCAATTCTAGGCAGAAACAGCATTTTGCCAGTATTAAAAAAAATGGAATATAAAACAGGAACATTGTAAATTTAAAAGTGAAGTCATCACCACTGTCTGCACTGTAACTCACTAATTTATAGATTGGAGCTTCCTGTTCCACTGTGCCAGTGGAATAATGGCAGACTCACGATCACTATGTGGGGAACTCATCCTCTGCAGAATGCATTTTTACAGCCAAAAGACTGTGCAAGTATTTTCAGCGAAAATCAACATTTGGCTCTTCGAGCAATGGGACTTTCAGAACACGTAAAAGTTGACTATACAGAACAGGCGGCCAAAAATTTTGCAAGAAAGTACGGACAGAAGAGTATGACCCAATTCTGTCAACTTACTGTGTGTTGAGAAATAAAGAATATACTTTGAAGTCCTAATGCCTGAAATCTGAATAAGAGGAAGGATGAATCTCTCGTAGAGTAGAACTGGGATAAATCACTTTCTGATTTCCAAAGGATTACAAAATTAAAGCTGTTTCCATTACTGTATATCAAGCAAGCAAAAAGATAACTTTTTGTTACCTCTGATAAACTACACAAAGAATTGCACCTTCTGGTTTTTTTAGTAAACACTGGTTATATTGACTGCAATTCCATCGATTGTTCCTTCCATTTACTCAGTAAGATGAGAAACACTAACAACAACAGAATCAAGACTCTTGTCTCAAGCACCACCAGCAGGCATGGAAAGCTCACCAATCTCTGTACTCACAAGCTCTAATAGCAGAAGGGAGAAAGTCCACCTCTGTTTACCTGACCTTCACTTTTCTTTCTATGTAAATTAATGGAAGAGAATTGAAAAGGTTGTAATTATACAACTAAACTAGACTGATAGAAGCACAAACTAGAGAGTCTTTCCTAATGCTACAGATGCAGTAATTCCCTGCTGTCTTCAGGAACAAAGACTAGGGAGCCATGAAGGTCTTAGGGAAGCTGATGGCTTAGGTTCCACAGTTGACAGAGATTACAAACAAATGTGCATGACCAGCAAAAGAAATCTCTTCATGCACCAGACAGTATTTGAAGACAGTTCTAACAGGCACTTGTAAGTCTTTAAGATTACATCTAACTTCTAATTAAACAGAGGTAGCGCAGATCCTCCTATCTAACTCCAACATGTACACTTTCAGTAAAGAAGGACCAAAGCGACCATATAGGCAAGAACAGCACATTTGCATGTTTCATCAAGTTTCACTGAGTTTTCCTCTGGGCAGGATGATTAAAGTTTCTCTTTGTTCGCTTTCTGTCCTTGCTTGGTAACAAACTTCATTGAAGATGAAACACTGAAGTAACCAGAATTAAAAAAAAGAAAAGAAAAGATAAGAAGATAAAAGAATGGTCATCATAATTTCTTTAAGTTTAGTTGAACATATTGCCCTATTTCAAAAAAATTCACTATCCATCATAAATTGATAAGCAGATCTGATAGGCAAATACATTTTTAAAAGACAGTCAAGGATTGTTTGAAGTATTTTAAATAGACATATGCAAATTAACGTGGTTAATAAATTACAGTAACACTAGAGAATTTTTCAGTTCAATATAGCATTTCATGTTTCCTCACTCCTACAGCAAGTGTAAATTTAAAACCAGGATTCAGAAGACCCGCTTGTTTCAAATCTTAGCAATCCTCATAAAGGAGAGGAGAGGGGAAGGGAGCAAGTCTTCATATACTTTAAGAAGCTTCAGTCCACAGCAGTGAATCTATGTTCAGACAAGAGAACAACTCACTTTCTCAAAAAAGTAATCCCTCACAAGGTCATCAAATAAAATGCGGAGTAACCTGTTTACTAAACACTAGAAAGGCAGAGTGAAACAGATTACAAGTTAAATTTTCTTACATTGTAGATACAAGACATATGTTAATTTCTTGAATGCTGTTGAACTCTCTTACAATTCTGATCCTCTCTTCTGATTTTGTATTTCCATCAAGTCTTCTGTAATCTAGCCCAGATGCCATACAGTATTGTTCCAGCACATCTAGCAACTGAGTGGAAAAATAAAAAAAGATTAAGTGCTTACTATTATCTTTTTAATTAAACATAATCACAGAGGCCGTGTTTCTCAAATATATTTTCAATAGACTAAGCACCAAAAATAAGAGTAAATCTTCCCCATTTTGATATCAACATCCTCAACACTCTTTAGCTGTGATTCTACAACACTCAAGGTGATTAATGTTGGTCTGCTGTGGTCTCACTCAATCCTCCAACCCTGGCTTCCTGTCCCACGTTTAAGTGATGCTGAGTCAGTTCAAGCCAATAAGCAGGCAGGCAATCTTAGTTACAATGACTTGACGTATGGTAAATGAGCACCAGAGCCAGCACAGAGACAGGCTAGCATGCGCAGCCAGAGTTCAAAGGGACAGAGTGAAAGAGACTGCAGTAACCAGCAGTGAGTCTGGTCTTGAACACCATGAAGCACAGCCTAAGACACATGAGCATTTTACTACTATATCCAAATATTAACTTGCAGTCTGCCTTAAAGCCACAAAATTGTTAAATATTTAAGACCTGAACTGTCATTCACACTATTATTTTTTAATACTTTTTAATGCTGTCATTACGAATATTTCAGTAAAAAAAACCATATTACAATTTGCACCATTTCAGAAAACACGCTATTCCCTAACAAGAAAATCAAGGAGCAAGTCCCTTAAAAGTGAAGTGTGCATACACCTCTTGTTCCAGTTAAACACTGTTTTCAGTTCAAACCAACTGGTGTAATAAGTTTCATCCCTGGTGATGGTCAAAAGCCAGTAGAACAGAGGAAATTTAACTACTTTCAGTACTAACACAAAGGTTGTATGGTACTTCAGTCATATTTGGACGTGACACTGCTCTAACTTAAGACATAACAGCTGAACTCAGTATGAGCTACCTACACTTGAAGTAATACAACAACTTTAAAAAGCTCTAACGAAGGCAGTAGGGTATTATATTTGTTTTGCCATCACCATTTTTATCATGAGATAACACAAGGTTTCAACATGCTTCTGGAGTATGGCACAGTGTCCTTCTCATCATTATTTCCCATAGTACAGAGAGAAAGGAAATGTGGTTGACAGCTGTCACCTCGGTGCTTTAAGCTTCAGAACCTACTGCTGCAGTTAATTGACAAAAATCATACGGCGCTCACCTTTGTAGAAAAGGAGAAAAGAAGAACTTTATCCTTGTTTTTTCTGAAGTGATTTAAAAGCTGCTGAAGGACCTGTAAATAAACCACAGAATACAAATGAAGAGATTTTACCTACAGGTCATCTCACACACACTTGTGTTTTCAGCCTTTAAACAGACTACACTGTAATTAACTGCTTGCAAAGCCAAACAGAGGCATAACAAAAAACATTACTAACATAATAAATGTGCCAAAAGTAATGGAGATGCCAGACCTATGCATTTTACAGTGATCTACATGGAAATCCTGCTATAAAAAGGCAATCATACTACTAGCAGGTAAATTCAGAAGCTATTTGTGTCAGTGCACAGACTGCAACAAAATGTTACTTATCTCATGCGCTAGTTCAGCTTGTGAATTTTTGCATTTAGCAAATACACACAATTCCCCTGAAAACAGGAAGGTCTGTTTAAGTTTTCTGTACTACATCTGAGTTCAGAACTTTTTGAAACTTGTCTTCTCAAAATAATCAGTGAGATGTACACCCCTCCCCACTCCCACTCTTGTCTGTTGCTCTGTTTACAGTAAGATCCAGCTTCCCAGACTCTGCACAGACCTTGAAATGCCAGTAATCCGCCCACACATAATGTTCTTCTGGTGGGGAAGCAAATGATCCAGAGCCTTGTGTATAATAGTGATACTGTTATTTTCAAAAGAAGCATGTCCACATCTGGCAATGGCAGCTCCAGAGTACCGCACAGAAGCAACACACAAAGGGGAAACAGGAATTTTCTGTACCATGTCTGTAGCTTTCTCCCACCAGGCAATAAATATTTTAAAATCATATTTATTCAGTGATAAATACATAAACTGTTAATCAACACGGATTTCACTAATCTTTGACAACCAAGTAATGAGGAAAGTTTGTATTAAATTTACAGTTCTGGATAATATCTAGAATATGAAATAGTAATTCTACATCACTTATAAGCCCTTTTGTATATATTAGCCAGCCAGTTACAAGTTAAAACAAGGTACAAACAAGGTAATTTTCGCCCGGTTTCATTGTACAACAACACATAAACCAGGATTTATTTTATTGGGAAAAAAAATCCACATCAGGTAATTTAACAAGAGCTAAATGACTTACATTTGTATTTTATTTAGCCACATAAACAGAAGAAAAACAGTGACATGCTTTTAAAGTAGAGGGGATTTGGCTACTATACTATTATTGTTATTGTTAAAGTATAGGTCAAATAATGAATTTCCTATAGGAGAACACACAAACAAATCCACCCAGTCTGTTTAAATAAAATGGATCAGTGTCATGCCCATTAGGATTTTAGGTATTCTGGAGTAAAGAACAGCTCTGATGAACAGGAAAAAGTAATGAATAGTTTTGCACCAAAGAGAAATAAATTCTATGCTTCCACACCAGAGTATTATCCTGAAATTTGTTAGTCTGAAAAAGAAATACTTGATCATGTTCAAAGCAAAAGTAACATGCTCTTTGTAAGAGCCAACATGGACTTAAATGCGTATCTCCCCATTACTATACATTGTGAGTGTCTGACTGTGATGAAATTTTACCTCTCACATCTGAGAATACCTTGTTTGTATAGAGATTTTTTAGAGTATAGAGTGTTTTTAAGCCTTCAACACCATGCCTGCTTGGGTTAGGGTTATGTTTAATAGCAGAAGTTGCTATTATTTGCAAGGTGCTCTGATAGACTTCCATTTTCATACTAAAATAATGATAATATGCCAGGCAAAATAAATAAATCAATCCAATATAGTTATTTCTAAGACATTTATATTAAGAACAGCATCCCAATTATATTATACACACAGTTTAAGAAAAAAGAAAAAGTTATTTCAAATGCCCAGACATTTAATAGCCCTTTTCACTTAGAAAGCATGTAGTCTCTCTAAGACAGAATATTACCAGAACGTAGAAATAATCAGACAAAGTAGTAATGAGAATTACTGCAGGCTTTTAAAACTACCCTCATTTTTCTTACTTCTTTTCCAAGCAGCTCCCAATACTTCTATATGAACAATCTCCAATCTTTGTATTTAAAAAGCAATGGAATCACTTGTCCTAAACTTTGCAGGTCCCCACTTTCTTACTTCATGATGGAAAAAGAGTGGTTTCCAAACAAGGCAGCACACTCCTTTCACTTCAATTCTCACATATTCAACTATTTCAAGTTAAAAATCTAGGCATGAAATTCACCTTGCATAGAAAAGTGTAAGCAAAGTCTTCTGAAAATTTTATGTTCTGCAGTATGATTAAAAACAAAGGGATAATTACATAAAAATAGCTGAAGTTCAGATCACGTCACCATGTTATTACCCACCTCCCACCATAACGAGGATGTACTAGAGTTACAGATATACCATGAATACTTTTACGTGTACATTTGGATCATAGGGACTGTTTTTTCCAGGCTCTTTTTATAATCTTAAATTCAGAACAGCAAACCTAGGGTGGCACGTTGTAAATGCTACAGCTTGCAAAACACATAGAGATGACTGCAGCCACAGCACAAGGTGGACACAAACACCAGTATGCCACACTCTCACACTTCCGTTCAAGCAATTCTAGTTTTACTGGTGGCAGTAGGCATATTCCACAGGACAAAAAGCTATGTTTTCCTACGTGTTTTATGTCTGCCTTGTGAGAGAACAGAAGGCATTTTAGCAGATAGGTTAACCTTTTCAACCCTTCAAAACAGTTACAACTGCTTAGCTAATGAACTTCATCGACAAATCAAAGCCTTTCCCCCGCCTTTAATAAATTTAAATAAATTCCACAAACTTTTCCCTTGCAAATATGCTCATCTACAAAAGAATAATCACCTGTGTCAAAATTTCTGGATATTCTGTACTAAATGTAATTTAAAGGATTAAATAATACCTCTCCAGTCTATACTACCAGATGAAAGCCAGGAAAGTATTTCAATCAGTTTCTAGAATTTATTTACAGAACAGAAAATGTAAAGTATTACAGTGGGACAAGGCTATTAAAAACATTTTACTATAATCTGTCTCATTTATTTCCAAATAAACATGTTAAAAATATATAAAGTAGTTTTCAAGCTCTAGTATCTGATGACTCCTCTGATTACCTTCTGGTGGTAAGAGGACCTTCTAAATGGAATACCTTCTAAATGACTTTGCTTCCAGAGCATAAAAACCAAAATCATCCCAAACAGCTACTGTTTAAAATTCAGAAAAAAACCCCAAAAAGAGTTAAGACAATCTTTTCTCACAAGACAAACCTCCAATGCAATCAGCAGCAGTAAAAAAAAAAAGAAAAAAGCCACCACAATACCAGACACGTATGAGCCAATTTTTGGCATCGTAATTATTGTGAAGTCAAATTTAACGGACTCAAAAAACACCTTCTTTTTCAATGGTGGTTACTTGGCCCATTACATAAAACTCCTCCTTCCAGGCATAGAGATATCACCATACAGTTCAGAATACTCTGTTTATACTAAGATACATTCCATGAACTAACACAAAATTTAAGTTCCCCTTAGAAGAGAAAGCAGACCAATTTCCCTCAAAGTAAGCAATTCTTTCAATAATTCTTAGATAAATTCTATCCAGTTTTCAATAGACTGAAATAGACACTATAGATCTCTAAAATAAAGCATCATATATACAAAACCAGAGGCCACCAACAGTGGAAAAATAGTCTATAGGTCTACTGAGCCATCATAAATGCAGCATTTGAAAATCCATCTATTCTATAATTCATAAAGCAAACACCGAACCAAACAAGCAGAACCGCTCACAATAATACCAGCTCATTGCTTCTTACATTGGAGGAAAGAAAAGTCCATATTGCTTTGTACCTTTGCCTACTACTACTGCAGTGTAGTGTCTGATCTGACTTCTTTAAAAGGTCAGAGTAATAAAATGTTCTGTGAAAGAATTATAGCAATTTTTTTAATTTCCTTTGTTACTTTTCTACAGAAACTTATATTGCACTTATCTCTCATCTACCAAACATTCGGAAGAAATATTTTTCAATATAAAAACACAAGGTTGGATTTTAAAATCCAGTTTCCCATGATATACACTGCACTTTTTTTTTAAAAATGGAAATTCTCCATACCAAGGTTCTTCTCAAGAATATGTACTTATTTAGGATTTGTGTTTTGGTTTTTTTGGGGGTTGTGGGGGTTTGTCTTGTTTTGGGGTTGGAGTTTTTTTGCAATTACCTACAATTTATATAAAAATACCTTGAAATAATATAGGAACATTGATAACAAGCTAAGGTACTTAATGCTTTCTTTGCCTC